TTGAAATTATTTTTAATTGGTTGCCTTTTCCAATATACACCTCGCAAAACAATTAAATATTTTTCTCTCTATAGACCCGAGGCATTACCGACGGCTCACCCTGTATACAGTCGAAGAAGAAGTAACAACTGTATATAGTAATCATAAAAAAAACACAAACACTAATGGTTATTTTATAATAATAATATCAGAATACATCATTACTGTTTATTTTGGCGCATGCCGTATTATTTATCTTTTTTGTATCGCTTTTTCTTTTTTTCGTTTTATTCTTTCTTGTGCTTCCTTTATATATGGTGGATCCCTACACTTCAGCTTTTTCGAGATACGATTTAAGATGATCTCTGGTGCAATGCATTTGTTATAAAAACGTTTTAATTTTGGTAGCATTATTTCTTTCCATACGTTTTCATCCTTTTCAATTGTCTGAAAATGCAGCTGATTTTGTTGTCCAGTGTACACAATAAAATAACATATTGATGTTTCTGTAATAGCTAATTGTCCTTGAATCTGAAAGTAGTATAAAAGTCAGTATATAGATAATTCTTTAATAGCACATTGTACCCACCTGAAAGTAATAATCATGATTTTTTCTTAGTGTTATTTTTCCATCCTTAATTTCTAAATAATTTAAAAGTTTATTTTTAACAGCGTCTTCTAATGTTTGATTCGAAGTAGCGACTTTTAAAGAACATTTAACTTCCACAATTTCATTTGTGTTAATTATGCCTTAAATAAATTAAACATATGAAAAATGTATTTTGAAATATGTCCAATCAAAATATATTACCATCTGGGGAGGCAGCAAGATAACCATGATCCATATCTACCATTAACCCACAAGATTCCACATTTTTTCCAGTCATCTCTTGAAATATGCTTATTGCAGTCGCCTCGTTTTCTTTCCCATAAGCCATAGCTGGCGTTGAAAACGAACTGCTGGTAGCCAAAATTTTTCGCACTAGCGAGTCACAAGATGTGTCTTCTCTTCTTTTGACTACAGGTCCAAAATTTGATGCAGTTAGCCTGTGCATTCTTTCTGTCATATACAGTTGATTATTAAACTGTCCAACTGTACGTTTCAATATTTGTTGCTGCTGGCTTTTAGTGACCTGAAAATATATAAAGCATATTTTGACGAAAATAAAAATTTCAGTGAATTTTCTACCTGTAATCTTTGACAAAGATTATTCACTTCTTTATCTAAATCATCATCAGACACAAAGACTTCTGAAATGTTTGGAGCATACTCCGGAATAGTATTCTCTTTGTCTTGTTGGGAGTTATTTATTTTTAGTTTTTTGTGTATTTTTTTTGAATTTTTTTTTTCTTTTCCTTTTCAAGTTGTTTTCTTCTCTATCCATATATAATTTTAAATAATGGCCTTCATCCTGCTTGAAAACTTCTTTCCATGGCTTTTTATGCCATTTGTGGCCTAAATTATATTTTAGTCCAGTCAGGTAGGATCTTATTTGAAAAGAATCTCTTTGAATAAGATTTAGCCTTTTGCCCATGTTAAATCGTGCAAGAATGCTCATAAATAATTCCGCTCTATTATTTGTCTCTTTATCAATCAGTAGATGAGCTTTGGTAAGGAGTTGGTTCATGGCACCATATATGTGGTGGTGTAATCCTGATTCCATGACTTCGTTCATTCGGTCTTTACTGGTATCTCCGACATTGGTACACAAATATGATTTGCAGCATAAATGGCTTCCAAAAACATGATAAATGCTGGCCCGTATGTCTGATTTCAGTGTTTCGGGGTCTTGAATATTTGCATATATGGCCATCTGAACCGATGTCATTAACTCATCAATAATTTCTTTGGATAATAGTTTCCGTGCTGGTAGCGTTATACATTTTATATTATTTTTTATTTTGTACAAACTCTTCCCATAATTTAAATTAAAGTTGAAGGTGGTAGCCATGTGTGAGTTATAAGTTCAAAAAGGTAAATCAAACAAGGGTGGTCCTTAGGATCTCACAAGAGTATTTTATTACGACCGGTTTCGAGGATCAGATCCTCATCATCAGGTAAGGTCTAAAAATAGAGAGGAAAAACGAATGAGCTCATAACTAATAAGTGGGTTTAAATTTTAATATGAAAGTTGTTAAATATCAAGAACTCACCCGTAATTACTCATCTATTTAAGACTAAGCTAAGAGAATTATCCCAGGGTCGGTGTAAAAACAAGTATGCGAGTATTTTTTAAAATACATAAAAAAAAAATATAAAAAACAATAGTTGCAACAAAAAGTTGATGTCAAAACACATAAACAAAAGTAGGTCTAAAACTATTAATTAAAATTATTAAAATATTTCACGAACGGACGAACAATTAAGACAAACAAATTTAAAAACTTTTTAAACCCTACAAGCACTAAAATGGGTTCTTGGACAAGTGTTTATAATTCTACAGGAATTAAATTTTATTTAGATTAAATATACTGATTAACGCCCTCAAGATATAAATAGACGAATTAACCATTCTAATATTTAAGATAACAGTTAAGAGGTTGTCAAATTTAAATATTTTGACCATCGGCTAATAGATGGCGTTGGCGAAAAAAATAAATGTTTCTTAATAATAATATAGGTTTATAAAATGAATTGTTTGAATTTGTACGTAATAAACAAAATGAAATAAATAAATTATTATTGTTAAAAGTAGAGTCTAGCATTAGCGTTGGAAAATAATTTTAGATGTACTAATATTCAAATTAAGAAGTTGGTAACAATCAACGGAAAAAGGAAATGGTGTTAAAATGAAAAGAGAGAAAAAACTATTGATTTGGTTAATTATTTTTTGAAGTAATGTGCTGAAAAATGAAAATGGAAAAGGAGACAGAATAAAAATAAGGAATAAGATAAGTATAACTAATAGAATTTCATAGGGAAATTTTAAAGTAAAAGGAGGGGGGGATAATTTAAGGGAAACGTAGATTTTTAAAAAAGAACTGAGAACGTGGGTGTGGATTCGGAAAAAACTTGTGAGTTTAGTGATAATGCATTGTTACTTTTTCTTAATCTAAATATTTCTAGGTTCTCCAAATTATTCAATATCAACTTGTTGTGGCAAATGTGGAGTACCCTAAAGCCATCCCCTGAGTCAAAATCGTGATTGGACTCTACTAGATGGGTGGCAAAATGTGAGAAGCCGGTTGTGGCAGTATTCAAACATCTTAAATGTTCTTTAAGTCTAGTCCTAAAATTACGAAAGGTTCTACCTACATATTTGGCTGGGCAAGACTTACAACTGAGTTCATATATGCCTGGTTGATCCATGATGTCCACTTTATCTTTATTCTTGATGAAAAAGTTACTAATTGAGTTGGAGGATTTAAAAGAAATTTTGAAGTGATTTTTGAGGATATTGGAGACTTTATAAGAAATATTTCCAATATAGGTAAGTGACATATACTTACTAATGCTAGCCTCTACAGGTATAGGGTTAGTTATAAATGTTGTATTTTGAATAATTCTATTTTGTTTTTTACTCAACATTTTATCGATTAAACTGTGATCATAATTGTGTAGATGAGCTATGTTTTTTATTGTGTTAAGTTCTCTATTGTAGTTTTCAATGGATAAAGGTACTCGTAATAGACGTTCTAAATAACAATTAAAGGAAGCTAATTTATGCGAGATGGGGTGATTAGACAAATTATCTATTACTACTCCTGTATGAGTGGGTTTTCTATAGATATCAAAACTTAATTTAGAGTCATTGTTATGGGATATTTTTAAATCTAAAAAGTTTATAGATTTATCTAATTCGGTTTCTAAAGTAAACTTAATGTTGGTATGTAGAGAGTTAACATGAGACAAGAAATCATTCAATGAGTCTTTGCTACCAGTCCATAGTATTAGAATATCATCCACAAATCTATAGTAAAATTTGATTGATTGGCAAAAATTATTGTTATCTAAGATATTGTCTTTTTCAAAGTTATGCATAAATATGTCTGCCAATATGGGACTCAAAGGGGAACCCATAGCTAAACCAGTTTTTTGTGAAAAAATTTCTCCATTGAACACAAAGAAATTTTGATCTAAGCAAATTTTAAGTAGATTGGTGAATTCAATTAGTTCTAAATCTGATAAAGTAGAATTTGACAAAAAAGAATTAATCAAAGACAAGACTTCTGGAATAGGGATGTTAGTAAAAAGGTTCGACACATCTAATGAGATTAACATATCGGTCTCGTTGATATGAGTATCCTTGATATTATCTATTAACACTAGGCTATTTTTTACTGTGTGTGTAAAATGATCTTTATAATAACCTTTGAGTGAATCATTAAGCCATTTAGCTGTGAGGTAAGTTGGTGAATTCACGAATGATACTACTGGACGTATGGGCATATCTTTAAAATCATCTGATTTATGTATTTTTAGAAGACCATATAAACGTGGTATTAACTTATGATCTGGTTTAAATCTGTTAAATAAAGACTCTGTTATCAAGGATTTACTATTTTTGAGAACATTTTTAAATTTAAAATTATATTTATTGAGAGGGTTAGTAATTTTTTCAAAATCGTTATTATCAAGAAAAGTATATATTTTAGAAAGGTAATCAAATTTATTTAAAATCACTAAACAATTACCCTTATCTGCTTTAGTAAAGATTAGATCGTTATCTTTGATCTTTTTAGAAATGTTTTTTATCAACTTGTCATTAGAAGTGTCTGTACCAAGTTTACTAGTTTTAAGTAATGATTCTTTTTCTTTTTTAAAAACGTTGAATAAACTGATTCTCAATTCTTCTTTGTTTTCCAAGGTAGTATTTTGAAGAATTGATTCAGTTTCCACTGTTAATAATTCAAGATCTTTTTTATTAGAGATTAGATCAGAAGTAGTAGGGTTAAATTTAATGCCTTTTTTAAGTAGACTGAGCTCTTTTTCTTTAAAATTAACATTGGAGAAATTTAGTACGGAAGTGTGAAATTTATGAGAATCATTATTTAACGTGTTATTAGTGTTTAGGTTGTTAATAATTTTTTAATGCATGGTTCATGCATTCTATTTTTTCCACCTAAATTAAAAAAAAATAAAAAAATTCACTCATAGCATCCAAAAATAACTTACTTGTGACCCATAGTCAACTTTTTCTTTAATTCTATTAAATACTGCAGAATCTCCATCTGCGATAAATTTTTTGTACCTAACATTATGCATCAAAATACTGCTGTTAAAACCTTCCACTATTATGTCTGGTTCCATAGAATTCGCTGAACCAGACCAGTTTTTAAAGCATAAGTGCTCTTTTGGTGATATTTCCATATTTTGTGCTTTGCTACAAATACAGCAGTACTTGTTACGCACACCAACAAATAACAATTTACCAGTGTATTTGCCGATTATAACTGCCTAAAAAATAATCATGCAAATTGTCAAATCCGTATCACTTTTATTTGTAATATCAAATACTTACAACGCCCGAGTGAGCATTATATGTGTGTCCATAGCTTCGTTTAGACCAGCCTCCGTCGAGATAGGCAGTTATAAACGGTATTCCATCACTGTCAACATCTCCTCTATCAATGGCGGCATTGTGCTCTTCCTTTCCAGATTCTTCCATAACTTTCCATAAACAACTCTGCCAAATCTGTGGAAAACATGAAAATTAAAAATGCATCGTGATGTATTACAGTTCTAAGATATTTTTACCGTGCTTAATTCTCTCTGTATTTTATAGAAACTGTATTTTGAAATGAATGGTATGTTCAAAACACTAAAAAGTTTATCGGTATGTGAATAAGTGCTGCCTGTGGCTAAGGTTCCCCACACTACAGCTTTATTTAATGTGGAACTCTTCTCATTGCTGGGTTCCTCATTGTAAATATCCAAATCTTTTTCGCAAAAATTACATTTTAAAATAAATCTGCTTTGAAGGCCAACTCGTTCTTCTTTTATTAGTTGCAAATAACCACTTGTGCATCGTTTGCTGTGTTTAAGTTGCAGAGACATTGACCTTTTCATAAAATAGTCGATGTCAACAATTCTACAGCCCAGTATCGTTCTTTCTTCTTTGACATACTCTATTTCGAGAGGATATTCTTCAATCCTGATGAAAAGAAACATCATGTTTAGGATAATACACCAATTAAAGATATAAGTATGTATTTAGGTACAAAGCAACCGAGAATGTCTAATAATGTTCACGCAAGCTTATTACAAATGTAAAACTTACAGTTTCTTCTTTTTCATTAGGACTGGGTCTTTAAAAAATTCGTAATCTTGCTCAATATTTGTATTTGTGATATCAGTATATTTTACTGACCATTGATTATCATCAAAAGCAGTTGACAGTGGTGTTGCTGGACTAACATTCCATGTTTCAGTACACTCTTGAGAAGAACTTGGATCGCACTCCTCAATTTTAGACTCGACTAAATTTAAAATATCGTTCAAAATTGCTTTACAATCTTTTGTAGATTGTTTTTGTTCCTGAACATTGTCCAGTAAAGTCGTTAGAATATCCTTTGTTATATCAATAGATGTTCTTTTTGATCGACTTTGTTTCATAGCCGATGCTAACTTTGTGCGCTTCTTACTATCGCGTTGGCGTTGCCTACCCATTTAAAGTAAATGCTAAAACATAAATGTGTTTTAAAATGCCAAAGTCAAATAGTGGATATTTATTTTTAGAAATAAATATTTACAGGTGGAGTGATGTGAGCGGCGGGAATTTTTGAAGGTTGTCTTTTTTTTGTAAGTTTTTATACAAAATACTCAACTTTTAATAGAATAATGGCCACATTAATTTAGTATGATATAGGAATTAAAGTTTTAATATTGTCTGAAATTAGATGCGCACTGGAAAACATTCAAAATAGATTAATTTGGCAACACTGCACAAATGAACACAAATAGATCACTGAAACAATAGCACCAAAATGCAGTCATTAACTGAGATAACTCCTCCCATTTTTAGATTTGCCAGTGTGCATCTAATTCTGACTTGTCATCTTAATCTTGTCGTACTGTATGTAGTTTGAAAATCTGATGTGTCCAACACATGACTATTATAGTTTTTTTCCAATTATTCTGTACAACCTATGCTACCATTCCTGTAAATGTTTAGAGGATGAACTAAGTACATGCCTACATTTTACAAACCCATCTTACTCGAAAATTTTTATACAGGGTGTCCCATTAGTGTATAATTGTTCAATATCGCAATTTGTGTTACTGCCACGCAAACAAATTTTTAAATAAAAGTTATATGGATTTAAAAATTACGTATTTTAAAAATTTTTGGATTTTTGTCTGGCAAATAAAATGTATATTTTTTTAATAGCCTGTACTTTTTTTCAGTTTTAGAATGGTTTGGTAACACTGTATTTAGCCCTAGAATTTTTTTTAATATTACATGTTTGTCAAGCAATTCATTTTTATATGAATTAGAGAATAATGCAGACCCTTAATTAAATTATCATAATTAAGGTAGGTTTACAATGCTTTCAGAATTGTTTAAAATACAGACTTATAAGCTACTAAGCTATTGAATAGTGTTGATAGAACTGGCTTATTTTATACAGAGTGCGACTTGAAACATGTCTTAAATACTACTAAATGTAAGTTTAATTTAATCAATTTTGTTAAATGCATTACCCTGTATAACATTTTAACATAAAATTCCTTACAAATGTACCTATCCAACGATATCAAAATATTAGAAAATATTAGCCCTTTCAGGGCCTAAAACAAAAGTAAAAATAAAAAAGTTGTATGACTATGTTTATAAAATATTCATAAATATACAGGGTTGTCCATAAACAAGGGCTGACGAAATTTATATACTTTTAAAGCAAAACACCCTGCAGGTAGTTATACTCGTATATATTTGATTGTTTTTACATAGTCAAACAATTTTAATAGACTTCATCATTTGCTATGTCGTATATAGGGTGTGTCAAAATGCGGGATAACGATATTATTATTATTATTATTGGTGGCACAATTACCTTCGCAGAACGCATCGATGATTTATGCGCAACGCCAATGTGAAGTTTGTCAAAAAGGTTGGATTTAAAAAATTCAATTCATTACCAAAGTAACGTATCAATGATTTATACGAAACGTCAATGTGAAGTTTGTCAAAAAATGGACAAAAATCGTTTTAGTTATTTCAATAATTTAAGTATAGAATCGACTTCATGTTATGGAAACAAAGTAAATGTTGTTTATAAAAGTTCTGTTTATATTGTTAAATATTATATATTTCAAGTTGTTACCGTTTTTCGTTTTTGATTTATGTTTTTCTTTTTTAATTTCAAGTCTCCTTAAAGGCCCTATCAGATTATTTTTTAATCAATAGGCTCTCTCCCCTTATAGATCTTGATTTATCCTAAAAAAGTTGATATCATTTTTCGTTTTTGACTTAAGGGCATTATTACTTTTTTCTAGACGGTAACATTTCTAATTTTCATTTTCATTTGGTAACATGTAACGCAGTGAAACCGACGTAAAGATATAATAATATATTTTATTTTAGTTGAAAATTCGTTATTCACATGAACGTTGCTTGCTATTCGAATATTGGTTGGGACCGATGACAGTTGATGAGCTGGTTACTCTCAAGAACGTCGCTTTGTCAAATGCTGTAATTAACTGGTCTATTAGAGGGTATTTCTCGGTTTTCAGTGGCCAACGTATTTAAAAATTTAGCATACCTAGAAAAATTATGTTGAATTTAAACGCACTTTAAATTATTTTTAAATCTTCATATTTTATTACGAACAATTTGATGGGTGGCACAAAATTGATCAAGTACATTTGATCGAAAAAACATTTGATCGAATATCAATTGATCAAAAAAAAATTATCGAAAAGAACAATGAATAAAAAGAACAATGATCGAAAAGAAAATTGATCAAGAATAGATTTGACAGAAAAAGCAATTGATCAAAAACTCAAATATACATAACGTTGATTTTCGTTAATTATTCCGTAATTATTTTATATCTATTGTCCTTTCGATAAAATATGTATTCGATCAAATGTTTTTCGATCAGTTTTTTGTCACCCCAATTTGATCCCGCACGATAAATAGGTAGGTACTTTAATCCATCCATATTAGGGCCAATTTCATAATCGAACCCTAAAGTCAGATTTAAAAAAAGTTTCTATTTAAAGTTCACTTTAAAGCCTCCTTTAAAAAATGTAATTTCATAACGGTTTTCCTAATGTACGTTTACTAAAACGTGCTTTAACAAAATTTTACCATGTTGGTATTGCTGATCTGTGTTTAATTCTAACATTAACCGGAATATTAGCTACAAAAATGTTAAGTTTCCTAAAAAATGTTTTGTAAAATGATAGGTTTTTCCAAAGTAGGTGAAAAATAAATTGAATGTTTTGAAATTTAATTATTCTTGGAATTAATATCTGCAATGTAGGACACAGGAAGCAGGGTAATGCTATGGATAATCCTATTAACAATTGTAAGAACCCTTTTATCGAAAGTACGAACTTCAGAGTACCTATATGCAATTACAAATGATTGATTTTAATCCATTTTAAATTTTAGATTGTGATTTCCGAAATTATAGTATATGTCAATGTGTCCTATCGTGAAAAAGGGTTTCTCTGGGAAAAATAAAAGTTTAGATCAGTTATTTAAAAGCAAAATTGTTTCAGTATATTTTATAGTATTTTACAACAGATAAAATAAACAATGTTGAGAAGGTTGGTATAGCCAGAATACTATTTTTATCATAATAAATATAAAAATCTTTTTCAAAATAGAACTTGGAAATTACGTTTCAGTGCTATAAATCAAGTAACGACAACTGTTGAACAGTAAAAAACAAAATTCAACAATTTCAAAATAAAGTTATATTATTTGTTCGTGTACTCACATCAAATTAAACCAAACAACTGGCGCGATGTCATAAAAAATTCTCAATCAAAACGAAAAACTTTAAAGCGTTATCAGAAAAAGCACGTTTTAAAGCTTTCAAAAAAGCAGAATAGGGTATTTAGTTAAACGAAGCTTTAAAGTGTACTTTTTCAATAAATTTGTTTTATGAAATCGATATAACATTTAAAGTGTCATTTTAATACTAAAGTTTCCTTTAATTTGAATATGAAATTTTAGCCCTTAGTATTCTAAGAATTATTTCGTTAAGTATATCATAATGAGTTCCACTACGTAGATTGTTAGTGAAATCTCATTATACCCAATTTAAAAAAAAAATATCAAAAATATTTACACAAGCTCCATAGTAACTTTCTTATGTAAAATTATCACGATTTAGCCAAACTTGCCTATCCGAAAGTAGGTATTAAGCGACATATAGGGTAAAGGTACAGTTTTTTTACTGAAAATCAATCGGACTGTCACTTAAGTGTAAGAACAACAAAAAATACGATTCTTTCCAAATTAATTTAAAAAAAATCCAAATAATTTTTTCAAGCTCCCTGTATCTGACTTGAAATTTAGTCAAAAGTTCTTTGAGCTACAAAAAAGATAATAGACACACAGAAACACGTGCACTCATGGCGCCCAATCTCCAGGATCACTTCTTGTTGCTGGCCGCCGCGTCTCCATGACAAAAAAAGCAATTTGGAACAATACCGAAAATTTTAGTTTATTGAAAGTAAACCTATAATATTTTTAATGAGTAAAACCAAATTTGGTAGATTTTCACAAAACTTTTATTTAAAAAAAAAATAAAAATTAAAACATTAAAAACACTACACATGACATGTTTCGAAGTACAACTTCTTTTTCAAATATGACTTATTTACATAACATAACATAACAATATTTTATTTACACAGTTAAAAATGTATATACATGTCAGGATTGGAAATAGTATATCAACACAACCGGAGATCTTCCTGTCGTGCGGTCAATCGTCCGCCCGGACTTGTCCAACCTATATCTACCCCCTATCCTGTAAAAAAAATGGTCAAATATTGTGGCCCTCACTCCTTACTGCACAGTATTATTGAGGGATTATGGTTGTTTTGGGATCGGTAATGGGAATTTGTATAAGGATATGTCGCGTTTGTGTTTTGGTTTTTGTCCCCTGAAAAAGCTAGAAAAAACAGGGTTGTCCTTGTGTGTATAGTTTGTTTGTTTAGTCTGTTGTTCAGTATTACAGCTCACAGGCAGACTGCTCGATGCACCGTCCATCGAGGCAACAATCGTGGGTTTCTCGTTTGTTGCTTCGATGGCCGGTTCACCGTTCAGTCCGCCGTCCGACTAGTTTACGTTAGTATTTAGTCGGTGTGGGCTGTTGTTTAGTTTGTCTGGGATCGTTAAGGAGGAATGTTAAAGTATTTTTGTTATTATTATTGTAAACAGCCGTGTTTTCTACGCACGCCGTCCCCGCGATAGATGCTAAAGATATCATCCTTCACATAATCGGGGAGACACCGTGTGTAGAAATTCTCGGCTGTTTCGAGTATGTAGTCCTTAATTCGTGGAGTCTGAGTTTGTATGTGCATGTCTTCGATTCTTGCATAACGGTCGTAGCCCAGAGCTAGCCGAAGACATCTGTTCTGCGTAATTTGCAGTTTGCTGTAATGACAGTTGGCCATCGAACAGTACACTGGACATCCATATGTCATGATCGGTCTTAGCATGGTTTTAAATATTAATAGTTTATTTTGCAGGGTGACTCTGCTCCTTCTGTTTAGGAGGGGATATAGAGTTTTGATGGCTGCTTGTGTTTTAGTCACCCTGTCTTTAGTATGCCGGTTGAAAGTCAGTCCCTTATCTAGCTGAAAACCAAGATACTTCATATGATCTTTGGTGTCTACCTGTTGCCCCTGAATACTGAGTGGGGTTATAATGTTTCCTATTGTTCTGCGTTTAGTAATTATTAGGCTCTCGGTTTTATGAGGATTTATCTTTATCTTGTTTTTAGTTAGATAGGGGACTAACTTCCTGTTTATATGGATGTCCAATGTCCTGAGGGCGAGTTCTGCAGAGAGATCGGAATTGTAAATACAGATATCGTCGGCGTACAGTGCCGTTTGTACCCCATTATCACCCATTGGCATGTCATGGGTCATAATGGTGTACAAATGCGGCGAAAGTACTGAGCCCTGGGGTACTCCCGCCTGCGCGATGTATGGTCCTGTCGTAGTATTGTTAATCTTTACGTTGTATTGTCTGTTTGTTATGTATGAATGAATTGTCTTTACAATATGTACGGGAAAATCATTCACAAGCATTTTGTGGATTAACCCGCAGGTCCAGACCGAATCGAAGGCCTTTTCGCAGTCAAGGGCGACAAGTACCGTTTGTTTGCTGACATTAGTGGCTTCTTTAGCGTAGTGCGCGATTCTTAATATTTGTGCAACGGTACTGTGTCCCCTTCGGAACCCGTACTGTTCCTGCGGGATAAGTCTAAGTCGTTGTTCAATATTGTTAAGTCTGTTTAATATAATAGTGTCTATGATTTTAGTTATTGTATTCAGCAGCGAGATGGGTCGATAGCTTTCTATGTTTTTTGGGTTTTTGCCGGCTTTTAAAATAGGTATAATATTTGCAATCTTCAGGCAACTAGGATAGTGTTGTAGCCTGAAGATTGCATTTATTATGTAGTTGAGTTGTACAACCCCCTTTTTGGGAAGATTTTTTAATAAGTTA